CAATTAGTTCATTGCATTAACCTGCAATTTCCCCAGAGCAATAGAGAGGCCCTCTTCTCATATTAGGATAGAAGCACAGTTCAAGTGAGACAAAATAACAAATACAAAATATTAGCTAATATTTTTCCAAGTGCTAACTGTGTATAGGTGCCATTCTTAGTATTTACTTATGTTATTTACTTCAAATCTCACAAGAGCTAGGAAAGATGAATCTGCTATTCATTCCATTTTATAGGGGAGGAAATTTAGGCTTGGAGAAACATGAGGCACGGTAAGGAAGAAGTCGAGCCAGAATTCAAACCCAGGACAGCCTGACTTCAAAGCCCCTATCTTAGCTCCAGACAGGATTGAGATGAGCCCAAAGTTAGAGAAGGGAATAGGATCTTAACTTGAAGTGGAAGAAGCACTCTGTCCTGGTCACAGATAGAAAGGGGGCTTCCTACCAGTTTTTGGTGTACATTTGGCTGTTTTTGAGTGTTATGCCTTAGGTAGGCACTGTAATTTTAAAAGGCCCCGTGGTTCAGCCATGTAATCCTCGCTTCTCAGGAGGTCTAGTCAGGAGGACTGCAAGTTTGAGGCCAACCTGAACAACTTAGTGAGACTGTCTCAAAAAATTAAAAGGGCTGGGGTTCAGCTCAGTAATAGAACACCCCTGAGTTCAAATCCCAGGACTGCAAAAACAAAATAAAACCCTCAAACCAAACAAATACAACCAACCATTCCCTCAAAATCAAAAACAAAGCGGTGAACTCAAGTGGGAGCTGGTTCAGGGGAGCCTCCTGGAAACCATGCACACTGAGGACGAGGTGAAACACTGGGTGCATCTAGCCTGGGACATTCCAGGAAGGCAGGAGTATTTTCTGCTACTGTAAGGGCCATCATGGAGAAGCAGGGACGTTTGTGCACATTACTGTGAAGGCCAAGCAAGAGCAAATGCATCTTAGTTCAGTTTACATTCATTGACGTCTACCCAGGGCCCAAGGCTGATGGACACAAAGGCAAGGAGGACAGGTGGTGACAACATGCGGAGGGTTATGGTCCAGTGAGGAATTTCATTTGGGAACAGAGTCCTTTCTAGGGAGTATATGCACTGTCCAGCAGGGACATAGGTTGATTGGCAGGGGACTGGGACCTGAAGTTGAAAGGCTCTGGTTAGGTGGTTATTGTGTTGTTGCAAGGGTTCTGAGGATCCTCATGAATGCATTTACATGTCAGTAGATTGAAGAATAGTGTGCCTTTTCATATATAGGTATTGTCATTTCCAAATGTATGTGATTATAAAATGCAATTTTATTTACAACTATTGCTGAATTCATAGTAAAAGTGGATATTAAAACAGAAGTTCTGACAATGTGTGTGTGTGTGTGTGTGTGTGTGTTAAAAGGCAACTTCAGACCTAGGGACATATAGGTCCCCCCTGAGTAGATGGGCAGATGAGGCCCCTCTGACCCCGATTTCACTGATCCCATGGAGGAGTCAGGCTCCTGCTGGATGGAGCAGAAAGCACTAAAGCTACATCCGTGAAGACCTTGCTGGGATCAGGGTGGCATCTTGCTGGTCTGGACAAGTCAGGGGATTTGGTGAATTGGCTTCCACCAGGATCTTAACGAGTGGGAGAGGCCAGGTGGGTGCTGGTCTCTAGGAGGAGTGGATGGGCAGCCTCCTGGCTGCAGCACCCTGCGAGTATTGGATTTCAAATATTGCAACCCAGTGACTCACTCTTCTCCAGAAAGTGCTTAGGATACGTAGTTAACCAAATTCAGGTTTGGGTGGGGGGTAAGTGTAAACCAACTCTGTTTTCTCAAAATATGTATCAGGTGCCCCAAGTGCAGAGGACCAGTCCAACCACCAAGAGTCTCCACTCACACATGGCCTCCTCCCCTTCCTTCGCTTCCTTCTCTCATAATTCTGATCAGAATTGACATTCCAGTCCTGCTAATGTACTCCCTGGTCTTTATTTTTACTTCTTGTCTCCCCAAGACCAGGTCATATATTGTCTGATTTTCTTTTCTTTTAAAACATATATAATTTTATTTTTATTTTTTATTTTTAGGTGAATATAATATCTTTATTTTATTTTAATGTGGTGCTGAGGATGGAACCCAGTGCTTCCCATGCACAAGACAAGCACTCTACCACTTGAGCCATAACCCCAGCCCTCTTGTCTGCTTTTCTGACTCTTAGAATAAGTATAGATCCTGTCCTTCTTGTCAGGCCTTCCTTCTGCTGGGTACGTCCCAGACATGGGACTAGCTCTTGACAATGGTGGTTGTGACCTTGCTTCTCAAAGATTATTCTTCAAGTTTATTCCATCTAAAGAAAGGGCAAGCATGATTCAGAATCAGTGGACTCTGGCAAAGGCTGGGATCTCCCCTATGGGGACACTGAGGTCCCCTGACTCACCATAGGTTTAAGAATTCCTGAAGTGCCTCTGCTCTGGACTTCACGGATAAGCTGAAGCATGTGGCAGATCATTTTTAATTGGTATAAAGACAGGGTTTCCACTCCCCCATATATGTAATATGTGTTTGTATGTGTGTGTGTGTGTGTGTGTGTGTGTGTGTGT